GGAGCCCCCATTCCTCTCGCTCATAGGGACACTTCCTCAGGTCCTGCCACCCGGCCATCAGCTCTCAGAATCAATGTGCAGACCCTAACTCTGGTGTTTCCCAGTCCTGCCCCCCACGCCACTACCCCCTCAGGCGCCTCTCTCCCGCTAGCTCTCCCCACCGCCTGAACTGCTGCCCTCCCAGTTCTGCCCACTGGTCATTGCCAGACGACTTGTGCTGAAGAAGGGGCTGAACGTCCGGCAAAACGTAGAACCTGGGAGGGACTTGGAGGGAGAGGCCTGGGGCTGGGACCACCTTTCTTTCCTTCTCTCGGCTCTGGCCCGGGGCAGGGAGGCTCCACTGGTCCCCTCAGCCTCCTGTCTGTAAACGGAGGTCCAGGGAGGGTCCTCCCTCACCTGCCACGCTTCTCACCCCGCTGCTTCTGGCCAGTGGGGTCTACTTCTCCATTTTAAGGTGAAACACAGGGGCGCTACAAGCGTTTTCCATTTGGGACACCAGGGAAGATGGCAAAGCAGGGACCAGGCTCTGGACAGTGGGGAGATGGGACAGAAGCTCCTGGGAAAATGTGCGGAGACCTTTCATCTCACATCCAGCCCTCCCGGCTGCTGCCCAGAGAATGCCCGGGGGCTGCCCAGGGACCAAGCACAGGCCCGTGCTCCTGAGGTAACTCTTGTTGATTTGGGGGACAGAGTCTCTGCTGGGGACTAGACGGGGTGGGTTTCCCAGCCGAGGGCCAGCTCAGACCACCTGGGAATGTTTGCCCCTGGAAGCAAGGGAGTACAGGTGGGGGGGCAGAGCTGGAGTGGTGGGCTGGGACCCCAGATTCACCGTTGACCCTGTTCTGAGTGGGGTCCTCCCTGGGAGAGCCTCTCACCCCAAACCCAGCAGCCCCCATCTCAGAACCCTCTCTGGGGGTTCAGCAAAGCCCCCTCCCCCAGCATTGACAAAGGTGAGGCTAGCCCAGGAGACCCACATTGTAGGCCTAGCTCCACCTCCAGCTCCTCTGGCCTCGGGTGAGGCACTTCCTCTCTCTGGTCTCTGTTTCCTTGTAGGGGACTGGATTGGGTCAGCGATGGCCATGTTTTTCCAGTGAAATCTTTGGCAGATCCTCAGTACGTGGAACCTATGACTGTGCCCTGCTCTGCAGCTGTGATGAGCAGTCAGGGGTACCTGCTGGGTCATCGCCTCACTGTGGATGGGGTGAGTGGACTCTGACCACACACATCCTAAAGTGACACCCCCTCTCCCCACCGCCAGCCCTCTGCACAATCAGCACCTGTTTCCTGAAACTTGGGCCCCTTGGCAGCCACAGCACCCTGTTCAGCCTCATTCCCCCTTTCCCTCCCACCTCATCTCCAGCCCCACGGTCCTACACTACTCTGTCACAAATCCAGCACCACCCCTCCCTTCTGGCCACCTGGCGAGGGGCTCTCTGCAGCCCTCCTGGAGTCTGCTTCCGTTCTCCACCAGCCCGTGTCCTCCGTACAATGAACAGACATGAAGGGGGGGGGGGTCCCGCAGGGGAAAGGAAGCTAGCAGGCACCGAGGTGAACAGGTGGGGGTGGGGGTGGGGGTGTTCGGATGCCTTGTGTAGCTCTCCGTCTCTGAGAAGCACCTGGGCTGGAGAGCTGAGACAGCGATCTCTAGCCAACGCATTGGGCTGTGAACCACAAGGTCAGCAGTTCAAAACCACCAGCCACGCCGAGGGAGAAAGATGAGGCTTCCTGCTTCTGTAAAGACCTAGTCTCAGAAACCCACAGGGGCAGTTCTGCCCTGTGCTATAGGGTCGCTATGTGTCAGAACAGAGTCCACGGCAGGAAGTTTGGTGTTCGGTGTTTGGAGAATTGTCCAATGCTCCATGCCCCACCCTGGAGGGGTTCCTGTCACAGCGGCCCTGAGGAGTGAGAGCCGTCTGCTTTCCAAGGTCTTCAGCTTCCTATTCCAGGGGACTCATACCCCAGGGACATCATCCTAGTCCCTGGGGTAGGGGTAGGGTGGGCAGTATTCATCCAGCAACCTGAACACTCCCTGTCAGAAAGGAGGAGGGGGCAGTGGGAATGGCTGGGTGGAAAGATAAACTTGACCTAGGACTGAGGACCCCTCCTGACTATTGGGCAGGGTCTGGGGCTAGGGTTATCAGTACTTTCCCCTACTGATCTTTGGACACTGTAACTAACATAGGCAAGGCAGACCGTGATGCAAGTTAAGAAGTCCTTTCTTGGGCATCTCACGCCAGAGGACTGCCATCAGTGGCGGTACATTCTCCATCACTGGAGGTACGCAAGCACTTTTCAGGAATATGCTGAAGGGGATTTCTATACCAGGCGCCATGTGAAATGAGATCCCATCCAAGAATCCTGACAATCCAAAAGGTTCTCGGAGAGACTGCACTGATGTGAGCAAGTCACGCAACACAACAGGCTAAGAGCTTTGAAGTTATGAATGCATCTAACCCTCCGAACAAGCTTATGATCACCGTCAGTCCATTCAGACTCCCAGTGACCCTCTAGGACAGAGCAGCACTGCCCCACAGGCTTTCCAACACTGGGCACTACAGAAGCCGAGGGCTGTACCTTCCTCCCGCGGAGCAGCTAGTGGGTTTGAATCTCTGACCTTTCCGTTGGCAGAGTGGTGCTTAAACCAGGACGCCTTTCCCACGGAGTCCAAAGCTCTCAAACTCCCTGTTTGTTAACTCCCTGGACAGTTAACTCTTTATTGGAGTACACAACCTTGTCCTTCTCCTTCGGTGTGGCTGGTGGTTTTGAACTGCTGACCTTGCAGTTCAGAGCTCAAGGCATCACGGTTATTAGCCCCAATTTACAGATGGAGGCAGAGGGCACATCGCCGTCGGAAGCTACACGGCTGGAAGCAGAGGCGTCACACTCCACAAAGGCCACAGTGGCCATGGTGAGAGCAAGGACGGAAGGTTGACTGAGTGCCCTGCAGGTCCATGTGCTCAGCGCTTTCTACACATCACTTCACTGAGCCTTGATGACAGCTCGGACGGAGCAGCAGGGGCTATGCTCACCACAAAGCCAGCAGTTCAACCCCCCCAGCTGCTCCTCGGGAGAAAGATGAGGCTTTCCACTCCCATAATGTGGCAAATCTTGGAAGCCCACGGAGATCATTCTTCCCTGTCCCATGAGTCGGGATGGACTGGGTGGCACTTGAGTTTGGTTAATGGAGCCCTTGGTGACCTAGTGGCTACATGTCGGCATCAACGTGATGGCGGTGAGTTTGGTTTGGTTTTTATAGCTACGTAAAGGGAGCTGGTGTTTTTTATAGATACGTAAAGGGGGCTGGTGGTTTGCTGATTAAGAGCTCTAGGCTGCTGACATAGGGACCATCGGTTGGACTACACCCAGCCCGTCTGGTGGGAGAAACATGCCGGTCTGCTCTCAGGAAGAGCACAGTCTTGGAAAGCCAATGGGCAGTTCTGCTCAGTCCTACAGCGTCCATGAGTTCGACTCCAGGGCAAGCGGTTTGGGGGTATATTTGTGTTCTTGGGAAGCGGAGGCACAGACGGGTGAACTAATTTACCCAGGAGGAGACAAAGGGCCAGAGGAATGGGTGAGGCAGCTGGCAGTTGGTGACTTCCCCCACCTTCCCACAAACTTGTCCTCAAGTAGCAATCCTGGGTGTGGCAGATAGATAGGCCCTCAAGAGGGGTCCTCAATCCAGGGAGGAGGTGGGAGGGGTCCTCGCCCTGGGGTGGGGGGTGGGGGCACAGAATTCCCATTTCCTTCCACCGGATGGCTTTGGTCTCTGCAGAGACCACTTGAGGGTGGGGGGTTAGGTGGGGGCCGGGAACCATTCTGCCAGAATTTCCGGGCTCAGGCGGGTGGGATTGGGGAGGGGAGCGTAGGCAGGAGACCTTGGCATCCAGATGTGCTCAGGGCCCCTCCCACCAGGGTGGAAGTCTGTCATGTCCAGCTGCCGGACGACTGGGGACGGCTGGGGCAGCACAAACAATGGACAGCGATGGCCCCACCCTCGGGTTTACAGAGAGGACTCGGGCCTGGAGATGAGGTCACTGGGCAAGGCCAGACTGGCGGCTGGCCTGGGGTCCATCTCACAGTAGGCCCGGGACTTTTAAACCGGAGGTGGCAACGCGCACCCCTATCTTGACACCAGAAAAAGGCCGGAGCAGCCTCCTCTGGGAAATTCACGGGGACCTGGAGGTCCCCAGCCCAGTAGTTACCTGGGTGGTCCTCTGGTCTGGTGGGGTGGGGGCGTTGGGGACTTTCTTCGTGGAGGGCAGGCCTTATCAGTGTCCACAGCAGGAGGTCAGGGGCAGTGGGGTGGGGAGGTGGGGCGGAGCCCATGGAACTGCACGCGGGGCACAGCTTTCCGAAGCCGGTGCCAGCCCTCCTCACTGGACTTTCGCCTGGGGGACTGGCAGGCCGAGCACAGCCCGTGCGCTCTGGACCCTCCCCACAGCTCGGTCCGAAGGTCACAGCCCTTGGCCGGCGGGAGAGCCCTGAGTGGTGGTGGTGTATGGTGGGGGTTCTTTTTAGGCGGGGCGGGTCTGCTGGGGGTCGCCGGCGCCCGCGATTCAGGGCCCCTGGCCCCTCACCCTATGCCTGGTGGGTCCCAGGGCCCGAGGGTGCGCTGGGGAGGGGGCTTGCCAGACGGTGCGTTGGTGGGGGGAGACTGGCGGACCAGGGTGGCGCGTGCTGGCATCCAAAGTTCAGTGGGAGCACTCGGGAGGGGGCCGCGTGCACCCAGCCCCGAGGCCCAGCGCTGACAGGTCCGGACACCTCGCTGGCACCCGCCCCGCCGCGCCCGTGTGCAGCCGGCTGGCCCCGGAGCCGCGTCTGGCTGGGGACGTCTCGCATAATCGCCAAGCCCCGCAGTCACCAGGGCCGCCCCCTTGCCCGCAGGCCCCCGTGCCCGCCAGTGCCGCCACCGTCGGTCCAGGGACGGCACTGCCCAGGTCCCGCCGCTGGGGGCTCGCAGGGGTCGGGGCGCGCAGAGAAGGGGTGCTGGCCGGACTTACCCCGCGGCGTCCCCCGCCCGTCGGATCATGCTGCCGGCCGCTGCGGGACGGGCGACGGCGGCGCTCAGGCC